TAGGACCAAAACGTAGATAAAAGTGAACCCATCTCACGAGTGGCCTTGTATTCAGCATACGTTATAGAAAAGATTTTACTTACATACAGGAAAGCATCAGTTAAGCAATTCATTCAAATCTCAGTTAGACACGACGAAGAGTGGGTTATAAGAGATGACACTATAATATTACCACACATTTAGAAACAAACCAGTGTGGTGGCATAAGGAGTGCATTGGCAAATGGGAGGCAGTTCGGATGAAGCAGACAAACATGATATGCAACAGCGTTATTTGCTGTCATGTGGCACATACCTTAATGCCACCACGATAATGAGCGTGTTCAGGCTACCCCGTCCGTCGCAGCTCGCGTCCAATACGTGTCCGCGTTTGGTGGCTGGGAACTTCTGAAATAAAAAGAATTAGACTGCGGCCCTAAAAACCTGGTAGCACACGATAAACGGCTTCTTCACTGACAGCAAACGTAGTGAGAACAGGCCTAAATCAATAACAGTAAAGTAGTCCAAGCAAAACATACAATTTTATCGGTCTACCACCATCAATAACTTACGGTTGAAGACAAAGTCGCGCTAATGGGCAAAAATCTGACAGTTTGATATTGAAGAGACTGAAATTCATGAGCTCAAGGAAGTCACCAGCTTGTGTTAACATACCACCTAAAATCTCGAAACGGTATGAGGGAGCCATCAGTAAATCAATCTGTGACTACTTTAGGCACTCATTAGATTCAAACCAACTGCCAACAGAACGTAAATTTGGCACTCGCTTCAATCCTTAAAATGGCAAATTGCCATGGCAGCCACAAAAATAGTCAGATTTTATTAGAAGGGTTAAGATTTCTTCTGGAACGATAACCACTTGCATACTTCCTACCAATGCGATTTTATGCATGACCCTTGCCCTACAATAGATTGTCATGGTTTGTAACTCGCTAAATTTCTACATGCTCGAAGGTCATATTCTGCCAACATCTTCTGTATCAACTTCGTACGAGTTGCTTGTTCTAAAACAATTATCAATTTACCTGCAATTTCGTCCTCTTCCTGTCTTAGCCGTCGAGGTTTGATGTGTTGAGTATAATTGACTGTTGTTGGTTCCGAAGAAAACTGATCATATTAGAAAAGCCCGATCATTTTCGTCACTAAATTCGCAACATCCTATGATGTAATGAACCCCAGTAACAAGACACGACGGGAATAAAAGAGCAAACGGGCAACCCCTATACTGCCGAACGTAGTTGGAGAACTGGTTATAAATCAAATGATGGTATATAGTGGTATTGGACCCTAAACACAATCCTCAAAGCTGGGCATAAGATAATTGAATTTCAACATTTAACACTAAGAGAAGGTCATTAATGTTGCACGAGGGAGCATTCATTTGAGACCGAATTCATCGGATGGCTCAGCCTTGCAGGCGTGGTCATGCTTGTGTGACTTATCTCTTTTATTCATAATAAATATTTTATTCTATCTCCAGCTTGAACGTGTTTTTAAGAAGCGCGAAATATTATATTACTGAATACTACGACATTATGATTCTGTGTAGGCAACGATGAGTCTTCCACGTAAGATCTTGTATACTAGATGGACGTGTCATGAAAAATCTACAAATTAAGGATAAATAAAGTCTATTATTGTAGCAGTACTGATAACGAACCTAGACCATAATTCTACAGATATACACAAATGAAGTCTAACACGGATTCACGAAAAGCCGGTTCCGTGCGTTCAATCTACTTATACAACCGAAAACTGAACTAACTGTTGGGATCATAAGATACTTGTGCATGAAATATTCACCAATTTCATGTACTTATATAATAATAATATAATGACAATACATTTCTGCATGGGGAGGTGTACGCCATTCTTACAGGAATGATCTGTAAATTACAACATTTGTTGGTGCACACCATGCTTCATAACTTATTAAGTATATAATTGTTATAAAGCTGACTCTTAGAGCGCTTGCTGTAAACCATGACCTTGAGGAGGCGCATACGTCAAGTTTGTTCCAGACGTGAGAAATTCCATAGCTGTGCCCTCAAAGCAAGACTCTGAAGAAAAAAAGTGTTGTATCCCGGTGAAGATTAAATTACAGGTATTTTCGAGGCCTATTAATGGACTAATATTCTATAAATATTTTTATTGTAAAACTATTGAGTAATTAGGTTATGTATATTCATATTCCTCTTATTATAAGCTTTATTTTGACTTATATTTTATTATTGTACGATTTACGATTCTTAAGCTATGCTCAGTCTATTAATTACTGTCCCCCTCGTTCACAGCCACTTTTTGGCTTATTTGTGTACACATGTTATTTTCTATTTTATGGTACGTTGTGGTCTGTCTGATTGATATATAAACCGAGTATGTCTGAAATAAACGATTTGATTCATATTACAGAAGCTGGTATTGTGTTCTGGACTCAAGTGGAAGGGCTAGGAGGATATAGGACCAATCAGGACGCTAAACTGCTCATACCAGTTGAATGTCATTGGTTTGGCATAGTGCGAAATTGTATAAGTCGTATTCTGACTGACCGATAAGTCGCGTGATAGAAAGCCAGACATCAAGGTCATAACAGAAAAAGAAACAGAAGAGCAGTAAGGCACTTGGATATGAACGCCAAACGTTACTTAACATGGTGTAGTAGAACAGACAGTAGTTTAATAAATTAGGTTAAATTCATATTATCTGTTGTTAGAGTGAAATGAAGTCAGAGGCTCCATACCAGAGAATGTAGTAATGAAGAACAATAGTCGTGTCGTTCAGCAAGTTGGAGTAAGCTTTTATGAAGCAAGGGAAGTCAAGGTTGGTACCAGGAAAGCGGTTTATCAGAAGGGAGTGTGCATATAGAGGGTGAAGTGTTAAGAATACTAATAACTATATCTTTTATTGTCTAGTTTTTTTTCTTTCTCGTTTTTTTGTCCATCCAATGTCAGCCACACAATCCTAGTGTAGAAGTCCGAGTTAGCATGTTATAGGTTGTCTTAGTAGAATAGCTAATACAGCATAAAATTGGAAACATGAGTCTGAGTGGTGAGCGTAGGAAGACAATTCATATCACAGATTGACTGACTTATTCTCAATCATAAAGAGCATGATAAATACAAAATAATTTGTCTCACACATCCTGATGGATTGAAGCCATCACCCTCACCATCAATGCTTGCTGGTAAGTAACTCCACCCTCCCTCCTTTTGTGGTGTTAGGCTCATCCAAGTTTATTTTTGGATGTATGTCATACCTCACACAATCCTCTGTGTTTCACAACCTGTTGGAAAACACTATTTCTATAAGTACCATTTTACAAGCCTATCAGGCAGTTACAAGCTGTGGACTGTGGGTAAGGCATCGATGCAGTGCTTCTATTGACTATAGTATAAAGTATAGTTTGTCAATCAGAGCATAGGCATTGAGAAGGGTATAATATAGGATAGTTGTTTATTAAAGCAGGCGGAAAAGTATAGAAGTATATGAGTTGTAGATAAGTTAACGAGTGGAGAAATGGTATTAATTGCTACTAAACATAGTGTACAGAAGAGTAAAAAGTTAATAAAGAATGTTACGAGATGAGTTTAACTGACTCAATTTTTATCCTGGTACTGACACTACCTAAAGAAACAGGATTTTCCACAAAAATAGATTCCATATGTGTTGGAAGGCCTTGACATCATGGATTTAACAAGGTACAATTTGGGTTTCACTTCTGTTCTTGATCTTTATTAACGACCTGTTAGATAAAATCAACTCAGTGACACTGCCGACGTAAGGTCGTGAAGGTCCATAGGGCGTGAAAATGATTAACGTGAGCATATAAAGGATCTTACAATAACAAAGAAATAAGCACTACACCATGGGTTAAAACTTAAGCTGTTGAAATGCCATGTTATGGACTTCCTGCCTCATTTGAAACAAACGCTTAACATCTGTGGAAACTCACTGCTCCACCTTGGGCCTTTAACCTTAGCTTGAACACTAGCTAAAACTACATAGGATATGAAGCTAAGGCGTAGGAAACATTTCACTTTATGCATAGACAACTTAACGTAAACACTTTTGAGTTGATCTCTACACGTACACCTCCACCTTGAAGCCCACGATTTTGTTCCTTCCTGTTTGTTCCAAAGAGGGACAAAGCATTTAGACGAAGTACAGAGACGCGGGTCAAGTGGATAAGAAGCTTAAACACAATTCATGCCAAGACACACTTCAACACCTGAGATTTTTCTCGCCTAGCTACGGATGAATAAGAGGTGATCCGTTAATGGAACACAACATATTAATTATGTCAAGCCACCGCAACACGAACAAATTTCGAGAACATCATCGTAACGCTACTCGAAACAACCCTAAGACATTGCACATCAAAAAGCGGACACACAAATGTGTTTTTAATTTCGCTCATCAACAGTTGCTCTCATTTGGAATCCTCTCCTAACAGATGTTCGGTTCCGTCTAATTACAAATTTCCGGCTAATTAACTCATTTAATACTCTTGGATAAATCGTCTTCTATTAGCACTCCAATAATCACCGTATCATTTTCATACTGAAAACAAATTCCTGCTTTGTAATTTGGTCGTAGGTGGTATCAAGACACCATACTGTTCAGAGAGAAACACAGTCACTCAAATTAAAATATATACAAATTCTCAAAAAACCACCAAACTTACTAGAATTATTGCAGTCAGTAAGCTATACTGCCACCCAAAGGACAGTAACAAGTACATAAAAGCATTAGGAAGCAAAAAGAAGCAATCGAAAAACCAGCAATCGTTTTATACTAGCTCGTGAAAAGGACGCTGTATATACTGGGTTCTACTACCAGAAGCATGACATGTTGCTTTCATATTGTACTGATTTAAGAATATGACTATTGAATTTTATCCAAATTTATAATCGTACAGAATGCAGATGGATGGTAAATTTTTTAGTTTTGTAATTGACGCTTATTTTTGTAAAGCAAGTTTAATAGTTTATTGACCTTGACGACTTTTGAGTAACCTTCGGGTTAGCATTATCTCAAATTATCAACCGGATCACGGGCGAATGTGCTACCTTTTTTCACTGTTTAGTGGGTATTCCGAGTGCCCTCTTTTATTTAACACGTGTAAGTTGTTTACGTGCTTTGTTATCGTGAACGTTTAATGTTATCTTACGGAGCTTATAAGTATTTGAGTTACATCTGTGACCGAATAGCAGGAAATAATCTATATTTACAAGTACTGTGCCTGTTATTTTCAGTATCAAGTGTCACTGCTTACGATATCTTTAAAGGTTTTTTCAAGAATTTTTGAAAAGCGCTACTTATAAGTAGTGTACCTATATATAGGTAGCGTTAACGCTACCTTCAGGTAATTACCTATATATATGTAACGATTATAATTGTTAGATGCACAGAACTTGTCCAATTAGTTGATGACACTCATGGTCACTAAAATATATTTAGGGACGCATTGAGGTAAAAACTTTACATTGAGAAAAAGAAGCATCATTTGACTTGACGTAAAGATGCGAATGTTAACGTCTGATTTGTTATTAAGATATTCTATAAATATTTTTATGACAATAAGTGTTCATTATTTCTCTTTGAGGGCAGTTGTCTCGTGAAGAGTCTGAAAAGTGTACTATGAACCGATATGATCTGCTTTGAAGTTACCCATCTAATCTTCTGAACTTGACAATTGCTTTCTGCATCAATCGTAGATATTGTTTCAATCATAATTTAAATGCAAGATGACCCACAACTTTACTTGCTGCTTTAAATAAGATAAACATAATATAAGCTGGTTCTCTTTACTTAATCGTTTGCTTATTGACCAGTCCAGTTATAAATACTACACATACATTCCAAATTTCATTGTTCTGTTTATTCAACGCTTTGGTACATTTCAGATTCACAATTCTGACCATACCTTCTCCGAAATTGTATTCAGTCATGAAAAAATAGCTTCATGTCGCACATTATATTTACTGATAGCCCATCACTTTCAAGTGCTTTAATATACTCTTGACTTCTTAAATTAGTTAAAAGCAATGGATGAACCGCAATTTTCTGTTTTGGAGGTAATTAGAAAGCTTGGCATAGTACCTATCTACGGATGGGAAGCTCGCTTTGATCACAAATACAAAATAAAATGCCGTCCTTTTACCGTGCCACGGGCTTCGCAGATGAGTGATATTCTGGGAATGTCTTTTCGGTTAGTTATTAAACATACCATTGTTTTTTAACATTGAGTGTTGTTTTTAGTAAACATTTTGCAAGTAAGGTAGAAAATGTTTTCTCAGTTAACCGTCCGAACAAGCATTATTACTACTAAATTTATACTTTATACCCTAAGCGAAGTTATAAAATCTTATTTACATGAATCTCAATAATATTGGTTCAATTGACAGATAATTCCCATTTAAACATTAAAATTAAAACACGAATTTCAGCGAAGGGATCTCTTTTCAACGAATTTATTATCAAGCTGTACAATCGTATATATATGAAAATTTTGGTTCAGTTGATAAATTATCGTTTTTAATAATAACCAGTTTGATTCTGGTTCATCTATGGTTTAGCAATTAAGCTAATCCAACACCAACCAACAGGTATAACGTTTGAACTAGATTCCTATTCCAGCTTAGGATGGCTAGTAGTACCAGTACAAAAACTTGTACTTGGTAGATGAGTTACAGCCGCATGTTATAGGTGATCAAGCATCTTCAAACATTTGCCATGGCTATTGCATTATAAAAATGTAAAATTGTCCTTTAGCAATCGTGACTGTTGAAAATCAGTTTTAGATCAAATTACTGATGTAGCTGAACACGCGATTACTCATAATAACTTGTGGGACCATAAATCAGCCGCTTTACTAGTTAACAATATCGTTTTCTTTTTATAGAATTCGGTTTACATCAAAAGCTAAACTACAGAACGTCTGTTACGCTTAAGTAACCATTTCACTCACAATTAAACTTATTATCATCAAACTCGTTCTTACACAGTTGTTGAAAGCGGCTAATCCACAGATTTGTTGCGTATGCAGCAAATTTAGCTGTGACAACAAAATTCTAGACTAATGTCCGAAGGAGTGGTACGAAACGTAACAGATAATAATATGTTGTTCTATAAAAATCAAATTTTGCAGTAAACTTTCAGTTAGGCTAAGTATTTTCGTACAGAGATCGTCATTAGTATCTATGTGGTTACTAAATTAGTAGCGTATAAAGTTTAAATCACTCTCTAAACTGATCAAACGTTTGTTCCGAAATTTCGATTAGCATTTATCCGGAACTAGGCGTTTCATTGTTAATACCAGCTTTGTCACATTAATAAATTTGAGGCAACTTGGAACTTTAATTAGTCTTATTATTTTCGGTCCACTGGCTGTGACGATTAATTCTAAAACTTTTGCATGACTTTTGGGCATCATTCTATCGATTTTCTAAGGTAAAGTTGCAGTTTTTACTACTTCATTCAAGCATGCTCTGCCTTCATTCTTACCTTGAACTTGTATATGTTTTCCGGGTTATTAGCAAAGTAATCTGAGAGAAATCTAAGGTCACTGCGATCTGTTGTTTGTGATTTGAAATATTCTAAAGACGTTACGTTGCTACATAAATCGCAAATTTGTTAGCGACATACTTCTGCAATCGACATTTATTGATGTTTTTGTAAGATTAATACATATGTTATTTATTTCAACACATAAATAGTGGTACAGAGGCACTAAATACATGTGCGCCACATAACTCGCTTGATTTGTGTGTAGTCTCTGATATTGCCCGGGTGCTCAGACCGAAGCAGTTGATTTTCCTAGGGGGCCACACACTGAGCCATTGACCTAAGTTTCTGATCCACAAGGTAATGGAGCAACGTCGGGAGATGCAGTGTCATGGTAGCCGGTTACCAACGATCGGTTCATACTCCATTTGTTCCTTCGGGATGCTGGGGCCGATGTGTACCCTTTGATTTGGAATCAGGGTTTTTCAACCTCCTAGGTGGACTCTTCGTGTCCACCAACATGGTTAAAGCGCCAGACATTCGCTTTTAGTCCTCTCAATTTTGTAAATAACAGTAATGCCGCGAGAAGGCAGTGAGTAGGACATCCCTGGCACCTATTGACGGGAAAATGAATTATGACTTATCAGTACCCAGGAAATATTTGAAATTTCGCTCTTATTCATTTTTCAGATACGCTTTCCGGTTTTACATAAAGAAGCGTTTTATTCAGCACCGATCGCCCTTTATTGATGCCGTTTCTCACGTGCCATGGAGACCCATATATGGCGTGCCGATTGGAGGTATTGGCAGTGGTTCTATCGGGCGTGGATATTGTGGGGAGTTTTGTCGTTCAAGCCTGATACCAGGTATGTACTGTTACGACGTACAACCTGTTGATCAAGTAAGTTAACACAGACAATTTCACTTCTCACTTAATGTCGTTATCTGGGTAAAAGGTTGTTGTACTTTTCCAAACATGTATTTATCATTTACTAAACAATAACCCATACTTCCTATCTTTTACTGGTCTTCCACTATGTTTCACCTTTGGGGTCCGAGAGATGGTGCTACACAGTGGCTAGAGACGTTATCAGATATGGCTCAGAATAGAAGCCAGTGGCGATCCTGCTGTAACCTTTTACTTTCTTCGTAAAAAGTGGTTGCATCTTCTTTAACTGCTAGATTTCTTCTGGTTGTACCTCTCCGTTTCCCTCATTATTATTGTTGTCACTATTATTATTATTATTATTATTATTATTATTATTATTATTATTACACTATCTTGCACTAATCTGGTCGTTATTGTTCTTTTTTGTTTCTTTTGCGCTCCTTACCTTCTTTTTTTCTCTTCCCATTCTCATTGTTTTGTGTGGCGCATATATATTTGGTGCCCTCTTGTACCAATAATTGTGTTTAAATAAATAAATAAATAAATTCTTTCACCTGTTAGTTGAGGTTTTAGCATTAGGAATTTACATTAATAAAATCACTACAGTCTATTTAATGACTGACTGACTGATAATTTCAGTGTTGTACTTCGAGCGTTATTGTATTGGAGTTGTGGGTGGGTTTTAATAACATATTTGTAATTAGGATAAAAAGTCAAGCAAAATACATAAAAATTGCTTACTTTTATTCCTAGTTGTTTGATGGTATATATATAATTCATTCTTGGACCAAACCGGAACATGCAGTACAGAAATCAGTCAAGATAACACACTTCCTTTTCGGATTGCCAGTTTGATTCATGGAATCTTGCTAAAAAATGAAATAATAGCCAGTGTACGTAGAAACCGTTCACCTTGTTATCGAATAATATTCAGTTGTTAGGACAGTTATTTATTTCTGTTTTCAATAACGTAGTTGGGAGAAATATGTTTCTGTTTTCGTTCCTCCTAAGAATTGATACATATCCAGAATTGTTTTGTTATATTAATAGTTCTCATGGGTTTTATGTATTTTTGATTATAAGTAAATGTAAATCATCTTTTTGTTTCACATCGCTACAGTCCTTACCATCACACAGAAGTAGAAGTAATACTAAAATAAATAGTGGAATATTTTAGTGTGTAAATGTTATAAAGGATGTTTCTTGTAATATGATTCAACAAAATTTTCTGCTGTCAAAATTAATGAGTAGGATTCCAAACGAAAGATGAACGCAGTGAGGTAACGTAGCCGAGTGATGGCTACTGACGAGTTCGTATTGTTGATTTAGGTCTCGATGATCGGTAATTTTCAATGGTTCTCTAAATAGTCTAAATTAGAGGTGAAAATGGCTTTCAAATTATTATGTTAACTAATTCCACTTGGGATAAATTTGTTACTGTTTCTCTTGTGATGCAAATTTCATGTCTAGTTGGGTTTTCCTACATCTTTTACTTTCGTGCATAGAGTTCAAGTTTCATAAGTATTTTTTATTGTATCTGCATTCTTTTTATTTTATTCACATTCAGTTCATCGTAACAGTCCGAAAAAGCGATGTTACTGTTTATCATCAAGTTCTGTCACCATTAACGAAACCTCCATCAAATGCCAAAAGACTAAAAAAGTGGAAATGGGGTTTTGATCCAGAAAACGGTCATTACGTTGGTTTATATCCTAGATCGTGGACAGTTTATGAAATACCTGAACTTCAACTTGTATTAGTTTGCCAACAGGTACGGAAAATTTAATGAAACATTAGATTTTAACGTTGATGTTTTCGGTTGATAGATAAAATACTTAAACGAATTTAATACCAGTCTAATATTTCATTTTATTGGTATATAGTTTAGATATCCTTGTAATTGTAATGAGTAGTGAGTTTGAAAAGAGTTTTAATTTGACTGTCTTTCAATACTGAAATTGACATTTTTTCTATTTTTAAAAGTAGTGAAAGAAAAAACTAAATATAGGTGATATTGGTTCCACAAATAAATGACTTTTAGGATGTGTGCAAACATTTTTCATGTTGACATGTTTTTGTTTGGATTGGTTGAGGTTGAACGTTAACCCTGTTGGATACCGGCTCAATGGTCTAGAGGTTAAGCGTTTACGCGCGAAACCAAAGGCCCTTGGTTCGAGTCGCGCGTGTGGCGTCTTGGATGCGCACTGCTGAGGAATTCCACACAAGGTTGAAACAGACATCCAGTGCTTCCAGGTTTTCAATGGTAGTTTAACATTGATCGGTTCATGGTTTCAGTTAAAATGCTCTCATTTGTTTTGTTGTAATTAACGCGAAATACTGTCGTTTGGTAACAATAAAGAGATCCACTTGAAACAAAGTTTCATTTGTAAATAAATGAAGTCATGTAATAACGACAAGAGTATTAAAGAATACAATTTTAATTATGGAGTAACTTATGTGAATTTATTACCTTCAGTGTTACATTTTATTCAAAACATAAGTTGCGGGAGAAAACATCGAAGGAAGCGGAGTAAATGGAGATAAAAAAGAACGCATGTATGGTATTCATTTCAGCTATTGTAAACTCACCATCACGAAGCAGTAAATGTATATAAATTTATCGTAACTTAGCCAACGTCTTGTAACTAGGTAGTCAAATTAGTAATGAAGTTGCGGCATCCTCTTTTAATTCTGATGTAAATGGGGCGAAAAGTTCACAGTTAATATCTTTTTTGATTAACGCATGACAAAACTGTTCATTGACTGACTGCGTGTCTGAATAACGGATTTTTCTATTTTATTTTCTGAAGAAACCTCATATGCTTTAGTTATTTCTATTCAGAACCCGTTACGTACCCAATTGGTACTTCATAATACACAATGATTTTAACTGGTGGCACATATTTGTATTGAATATCCTACTGTACGTTATTTTTTCAAAAAAAAACATTGTAAGTATCAGTTCTTTCTTACAAATCTTGTTTATCTAGATATCCCCTGTTATACCGCATGACTATCAGGCAACATGTCTTCCGGTTGCTATATTTTATTGGAAAGTTATAAGCTGGAATAATGAAGATTTAAGAGTTACTATCACATTTTCATGGCATGGCCCCAATCCTCGTAAACGATCTAAATCAAGTGATGTTTCCAAATCTGAGAACGGGAATAATAGCAACGAAAATACTGCAAATACTCATGTTTCCACTTCAGAAAATGCTTCTCCAGTTTACTCTCAACGATCCACTGCTTTTTCTGCTGGTGATAATGTACTAGGATGCCTTTTAGAAAGAACTATTGGAGGTGAACTACCTTGTTGTTTTGGTATCGCAGCTAAATCAATGGACAAAGTAAGTTGCCCATCAATTTTTTTTCAACTCGTGAAGATTGAGTTATGTATATTAGTACTTATTTTTGTAATGTCATGCATCGAATCGTCCATTCAGTTTTTTTCAGGATTTCGACTACTTTCTAACCAGTCTACTCTTTATTCCATCTTTCGACAAATAATTTTAATTAACAACTCTTTTAGAAATATTCATTACATCAGTTTGGGGACATGGAAAGTATTTTATTGACTTTTTAATTCTCGATAGATTTTAATCTGATGTCAATATTTCGAACATTTTATTAGTTTTCCTGTTCATCTCTTAGATATCAGGCACGATCTTTTTCACCAAAAACAGTAAACTCATTCCTGATTTTGGTTGAATGTTTGCTGTTTACGAAAATAAAGAACTCAGCGTTGTATATTCGTTGTTTATCATAATAGTCATTCCCACTAGGATATCTCTATTCATTTTTTAAAATTGAATTGTCAGTTCAAAAGGTTAAAAATATCTAATAATCTGTCGTGGTTAGCTGACCTAAGAATAATTTTACTTAATGTTCAATTTCAATATATATACGTTAGATAATAGTTTTACCTATTAGGCTTAATATTTTGGTGCATCTCTCTTGTAGTTTGATCTTTTCGCTGCTTTTTATTTGAAAAGTGCATTAGTGCGATTTATGTGCATAGCCATAGAAATAAATCTTATCCCTGAATAACCTTAAATTTTCTTTGTACTTTCTCACTGAAGTCGTGTTATTCTATCAGTTTCTTAAGTAAAATTAACAGAATACCGAGTAGAATTTCTAAAAACCTTTTTTAAAACGGTTTACATCCTTTTTTGAGGTGATTTTTGACGTCGACTCCTAGAATATATTTTGGTTTTCTTCAAAGATAGTGTGTTTGACATTCTGAAATCTCCAAACATGTTATATGAACTCTGGATTTTTCTCGGTAATGTTTTTCCGGTTATAATTTGGTTAAGAGAAATGGAACTATAGATTCGACATACTTTTAATTGGTGATTACAGTTATCTTGCAGTGACTATTTTTCAACCTTTGATATGTTGCTCAACCATCTTACCTTCCATTTAACCGATGGTTTTATACTTTTTACGAATTCTGTTCTTCAATTGCATGATAATTTTTAATTCTAACTCTAGTAAATCAAGTTGTAATCGCATAAATTGTGTAGCTTATCTATTCCTTTTACGGAGTGCATGAATTTAATACAATCGTACGACTTTTTTTTGTGACCTATGAATTGTACTTTTTAACTAAAATTACTCAATACGATTTTCTTTGTAGTTTTTTGACAAGGGGTGGTCTGATTTGTTCACTAAAATCTGCGTTATTTTTCTAAGGATATATTGATATATTGAAATTCAACTGAATGAAGCAAGTGTGTTTTGTTTCTAAGTGCTCTGAGGACAGAACGAGGCAAGATGCGTTTACCTATCCATGAGTTTGATTAACTACTTGAATGTTATACTGTGTATTAGAACCTAGTTTTGTTTGAAAATAATAGAACACTACTTTGTTTTTTTTAAATGGCTTAGTGAAACTATCACTGGAATAGACGGATTAATCAAGTAAATATATTAGTCTTTAAGTATGATAACACAGTATCATCAAGTAATCTGACTAAAATACTAGGAAGGTTGTATGATCTCAGAGCAAGGACATTAATACGTTGTTGATAACCATAGAGAAATCTTGTATTACAGTATTTTCTGAAGTGTTATCTTCCATAATCACCTGGCACTTAAATTAATCTGAAAAACGATAAATTCAAAAAAGTTAATCAGGTTTTGAACCTTTAGATTTCACTTTTTTGCTGCTAAGTTTATTGAGTCCTGTAATGTTTGGTATCTGACGAACTATTGATAAGAATAGGAAGTGCACATTTTCTTATTATCGACTGGTGAAACAAAAGGCTCAAATTTCTTTGAGGGATTGCGCACGTTTATTCACTTCACTGGGTGAGTAGTCTGATGAGCTTAATTAGTGACCGAAAATCTGTCTCACTTAAATTCATTTTTCTGTAAATCTAGAGCTTATTGCATGATTCTACTCTCCTATTCTATTCGTTCTTTTCAAAGTGTATTTCTTACGTCTAACTTTACGCTGTAGTCAATACTACTGTTTTCCCTCCTCCTGTATTTGGTGTGATACGTGGATATATCTTCTTCCTGTCCTACTTTGTAGTTAATTGTAATAATTCCTAGTTTACGACCCAAAGTGCTTTCGTGCATGACACCAAAATTATGCTTTTAATATTGTCACGTTGGTAATCAGCTAAATAGTCGAATTTGTTGAATATGTTGCTTATTTAAATTCAATTTGTAAAACATCGTTCTTCCGTAACTTTATTGTTTTTTTTCACTTATCGTAAGGTCGAAGTGAGTCGGTGTCCAGGCTTTTGCTTTCACGATAAGGCGTTGCATGGTACCTTGCATGATTCCAGACATAATCCTGAAGTTAGTGGCAATGGTCACTCAGATCTGATAACTTATCTTTCCTACACTAAAGCGCCATCTGCTTCACAATTCTGGAATAATCTCCAGTATGGTCAAATACCTCCCGATTTCCATTCAAGTATGAAAATTACTGTAAACTTTTATTAATTTTAGTGATATGTGTATCAAATACATTTAGTTAAAATAGTCACAGTTTTTTTGCTAAAATTCATTTTTTTTTTGCGTATGGACTGACATCAGTTAATATAAAGTAATAGGAAAAAATATGTTGTTAGATTTATCGGTTACTTTATTTAATACCTACTGGTAAAAGAAAACTGATTCTTAATATGGACTTAATCTATTATTGCTACTTCAACTCTTACACTTAATACAAAGTACACTGACGCATATGAAATATACTTTTTAGTCCCCTTTATGAAGTAATATGTTTGGTTTTTATGATACTTCAATAATAATAACACTCTGCAGTATCAAGTAATATATCTTATGACTTTGGGGATTGAAGAAATCTTCATCTTGGATACTGCTGCTAACTATACAACTTATCGTAACTGGATGGAATTTATACGGTTGTCAATTATTTTGAACGAATGTTTTCAAGTTCATCTACTTCTTGAAGTGTAGCCAAAAAATAGTTTTGTACAAACTAGATTAGCATGGTCTGTTAGTAGCTGTGGCTTTGGAAAAGAGTATGAATTCAGATAGGTGTCTTTCTGTTAATTTTCTTGTTAACTGTTTGACGTTTTGTACAAACAAAGAAATATTCACAAAGATTTTCTGAATGAAATTAATGTGGTTTTTATGCTGAAAGGGCGTTTAAATTGTGCTTTTTGCTACTGAGTCGTCAGAAATTAAATAAATATGAAATGGTTTCATCCTTTTTTGATTACGTTTTTGCTTTTTTTACGCTCAGTTCCTCTGCTCAATGAGTACCCCAGATTTTTGTTTCTTTTTGTGATATCTCCACTCACATTTTACTTAAAGTTTCTTTAAATATCATCATGAAGATCTAATCTTGATGTTTTTTTAAATTTTTGCGCTAATTAGTAGTCTCTATACTCGGGTGTCGTCCACTTTATGCGAGTGTTCACTATCTTTCTCTTTTTAGTTGGTTATACCGTGCCACTGGATTCTGAAGCCAAGAAATCACCCAAACTAGCAATTGCTGTAAGCGCCACAACTAATGTACCCCGATGCAACATCGCTAATAATCTTAATCCTAGTCAAAGCGAACTTGAATTTGCCATCACTTGGCATTCTCCAATAGTAAAATTTCGAACAGGTGACGTTGTTTATACTCGGTACGTAAATTTATTTTGTTTTTCAGTTCGTTTGATGATGGTTTATAAAAAGTTATGTTTTTCATCTACAACGTCGATAATAGTTAATATCTACGACTGATTCTAAAGTTTCAAATCCAGTCGTTTTAATTATTGCAAAATTTAAATACTTTGCAACATATTTTATTCAATCCAATTTTTATGCAGTAGTTATTCAATATTTGTTTGTTTGCAGAAACAATATATTATTAGTGATACCGTAATGAAGGTCAAGTTTTTGTAACATATATCAGTCACTTATCAGCCACTGCTTTATTATTTCCGTGGTTGCACCAGGGTATCATATGATCATTTTGAAAGGCACGTTTATTCCTAGCTTAAACAGTAAAAACTCTTCTTATTTAATTTTGTTTCCCATCTATTGAGAAGTTTATATTGAAATCGCCTCTTGAGGAATTGAGTTCAGTTATGAATCACAGTTATACTTAAATTAAGTCCATTGATGTAGTTAATATAATAGAATCTTTTAAATCGCTTTGTCCATGACAGTCCAAAATCTTTGAAAGGACTTGCACCTTATACTTTTCTTTTAATATGTTACTTCATTTTATGTTTACCGAAGTTGTAGTAGCATCGTTTTTTCTAAACCTATTAAACTCTCTATTATAAAAGACCAATATTTCTTTTATTGCAAACAATGATACTTAACGCTTCGAGTGTTGTTCCTCTATATATCGTCAATTCATTCAAGACTTGTACTAGTCGTAAGGTTAGTACTCATTCTCGACTTTAGTCTTGGAAACACCAATATCTAATTTTTGTGGTTTTTATAATGTTGGGGAAGCTTTGTTTACTTAAACAAAGCACTATTCACAAGTTTATATTCCCACAGAATGTACATGATCAGTTTGCTTGAATGGATTAAAGTTTTGACTAAACAGCCCACTGTTCTTAGTTTATTCAGCATATAAATATCGGTATTAAATTACTGTTGTTTCAAAATATGTGCATAAATTCAGAGGCCTTTTCACTGTAATGTAGATTTTTATGTTGGTGATTTAACTGATGTTGTGCATTCCCTCTATGTTTTTAAAAAATTTCACAGTCGATATGTTCGTTGGTTTCCTGTTGACGGAATACCTGGAGCTAAGTTGCTACTAAAACATGCAATAGATAATTGGAGGCAATGGGTCCAGAAAATTGAGGATTGGCAAAATCCTATTCTTAACAACCAGTAAGTTTTTGTATTCTCTCATGTTAGATATCGGATCTTGGTGGAGAACGTCTAAAGTAAAGTTTTTCTAATGTTTCCGCGCTTATCACGCCTATCTCATCTGTAAATGAATTGTTAAATTAAATTGAAATAAATTATCTCGACTTTGTTAAGGTCACTGATATATTGCTTGATTTTTTATTTCCCTTCAAGTTTCTGAACTTGGGAAACAATTTTTTCATCAATTGGTATCATTTCTGCTCATAGATGCGTTGATTTATTTATTTTAATTTATTTTAACACATAGATATTGGTACAAGGAGGCACCAAATACATATGCGTCACACAAATCTCATTCGATAAGTGTGAGTGCTGTGATACTGCCCGAGTGCCCAAACTGAAGCAGGTGGTTTTCTTAAGGGGCCACTCCCCGAGCCTTCAACCTGAAGGTCTGATCCACAAGGCAGTGGAGCATCGTAAGGAGATGCAGTCCCATGGAAGCCGGTGACCAACGATTGGTTCATACACTATTTGTTCCCGCAGGATACTGGAGCTCATATGCACCATTGACTTGGAATCCGGTTAAGGCGCCGGACATTCGCTCTTCGTCCTCTCATTTTCTTAAACAACACCCCCCACGAGAAGGCAGTGAGTAGGACTTCCCTGGCAGAGGCTATATACGCGTGGCTATGTGAGAGCATTTCGAGAGGGAGAGCGGACTCTCCCCACTCGGCCGTACCAGGGGATTCGGGGGTTGAAGCATTATTTGTGTGTGCTGGAACCATTAAATGATCAATGTTAAGGTAAAACTCTAAGTATTAGGTTAGAATGCCACATCAGTTAATGAAATGAGATTGGTTTCATTCATTTAGTAGTTTTTCTTTGGTTCTGAATTACTACAGATATTATTGTTGATATTTCACTTCCTCGTGTTGTAACAGTCTTGTTCTGACGTACGTTTGAGCATGATTCCATGTTGTTTATATGAACCTAGTGGTTGCATGTAATTTTTTGGTTAATACTTGTACAAGATGACGATGCTTAAATAAGTAGTCTTACTTTTAATTGTATGTCTTGTTTCAAACTATTTATTCATTGTTGTTGCGTGTTATTAACTCTCTGATGTCATATTAATTATTACCACGAATTATTGGTTTGATGTTCTACATACTTCGGCGATATATGTATTGATGTAATATGGATCATAATCAGTACGTCATGGTTCTTCTAAGCAATTATTAATTCTAAATTATTTAATTTTCTGCTCTCCTCAATTGACTAAGTATAGCTCTCATGATAATGTGAAATGTAATGAATAGTGCGTGAAAAACTGTATTTGGTTAAGCAATATATATTTAAGTACTCTCGTAATTTTAATATTACTGTATTGTGATTCATAAACATTTTTTCTTATGTCATAAATGTCATCACAACTGTAACCATTGGGTATTGTGTTCTGTATCTTTGATTTCATGACATTTTGTTCTGTTGAATAAAATCATTTCTTTATCCCATACAGATCGCTTCCAAATTGGTATAAGTCTGCTTTATTCAATGAATTATATTATCTTAGTGATGGTGGAACTGTATGGCTAGATCCAATTCAAGTTGATTGTTTTAAATCAGATCTGCTAAATTGTATACCACTAGACCTTGTACGAAGTTACAAAAATGGTGTAGATCTAGACCCGTATAAGTTAACTGGTCGCAAAATTAAAACTCCAACTACAGTAACTGAAGATATGAAAGTCGACTCTTGGGATCATCGTGCTAGATTATCACGTGAAATAGGTTTATTTGGATATCTTGAAGGTAGGTAATAATTTAATTGTTTACATGAAACGATTTTTCACAGTTGTTTTCAGAATATTTACTTTTAGATCGAGTGGGAGGCAAGAACTTCTGAGGTTTATATTAAGCATCACCCTGTGCATTTAAGATTACTTGTTTAATCGTCTACTCGCTCACTAATTAAAAACGTACCATTCACCTAAGTTGATTTGTTAAGAATGAGTTTCTAACATATGTTATGTAAATTTCTTAGGAATAATTCGCATTCGCTTTTAAAAGTGGTAGGATTTATATTGATTCATGTGTCTGTAATTGGATGTTGAAATTTACTTTCCGCTGACAATTCGCACATTTCACATTGATTTGCTGTAATGTGTCTTAAATTACCCTTTTAGAACCAACTAGATTTTGGTTTTTGGTTTCCACTTCAATCAAACCATTTGTTTCACATTTTAACCTGCTACTATGCTATAAATGCTTTTCACTAAGTGATTTGTTATCTGAACTTTGAGTACATTCAACAAAGTTACGTCCACTAGAATTCTAGCCATCACTGCAAGCTTCCTCAGTAGTCTGAAGTTCTTATTAGGTGTTTATTTGTTGATCAATGACAAAATGTCATTTTAAAACGATGTTCAATAATCTCATACAAGAAAAGAAGAAAATAATAAAATAAACGGCTAAAACAAACTGAAAAATTCTGTAACATATTCTGAAGAAATATCACCTCTAAAGTTGAATTCTCATAAATTTCATGAATATTATTTGTACAATAGCACATTAGTGGCATTCTCAATCGATTTTTAATATAATTCTCCAGCTGGTTTAAGTTTTATGCTCGTCTAATTATTTTTAGATTCTTCATTTCATTTTATATTTTAGGTCATGAATATCGAATGTACAATACATATGATGTACATCATGATGCATCATGGGCTTTAATCAAATTATGGCCTAAAATACAACTGGCTTTAAATTATGATTGTGCCGATTTGGCTATCGCTGAAGACTCAACTTCAGTCTATTACATTTATAATGGGAAAAAGCTATCCAGAAGTTCCGAGTGTGCGGTTGTTCATGATTTTGGTGATCCGGAAGATGAACCTTGGCGATGCACTAACGCCTACATAATGTTTCCTACTGATAAATGGAAAGATTTGAATTCGAAATTCATCTTACAGGTTTGGCGCGATTGGCATATTACACAAGACCATCAATATTTATTGTATATGCTTCCTATCGTTTTGGTAAGCTTTTCCTGTGCATATTCACTGTGTATTTACTAGTAGCAATCGAATAAAAATACAGCATTTAGTAATGGATTTATTTTAAGTCATGGAATATTTTGCATAATAATCTCAGTATCTATTCGACATACCGGTAATGATAAAAAAGTGATGTTTGACACCACTTATCGTCATATTCTTCTACTTTTTTATCAGCACAGTTTACAGGTCTAATAATAAGGACATTTCTTCGTTTTTTCATAAATGTGTTCACGAGATACATGGCTTTGAACCACAATCTAAGGGTAAGGGCCAGCAATACTGCTTAGTTGCCCAAACTGAAGTAGGCAGGGATAGTTTTCGAACCTAGGACTGGGTGAATGATAATTAAATGCCTTAGTAAATGAACCACCACGCCACTAACTGCAGAATTACCTTAAAAATGGTAAAAAATTAATTACCAAATGTTACAGTCATCGTGTGAATCAACTTTCCTTTCAGAATAAATTTAGTTGTGAATGCTTTAACACTTTTATTGTCCCAAATTATCCCATACTTTTGTAATTACATACTAAACGTAATCCTTGCAAGACACCAAAATTTGTAATTAGATTTCACTATAAACAAAGGTCACATATTACTATGAAATACAAAACTAATTTAAAACAGAGGTCTTATTTTACTAACGAATGATATTTCAAACTATAACAATTTATAATAATCATCCCTCTTTTAGTTTCTATTCGTTTCTCATTCTCTTGCTTCCCAACAAAACATCATACTCACATTCTTCTAATGCCGATTATAAGAAGGTGTTTTTAATTATACTTAGGAATCGTCATAATACATTAGGACAAGTAAATTGTGTCTGCAGGTAGTTAAACTTCATAAGATCTGAATAAATTTTAGAGCTTATTTGTTGTTTCGATTTCCAGTAAAAATCTGTTGGTCTTTTGACTAATGAGATAAATTACTTACGTGAAGCTGTATTAATATTTATTAGTAATGAAATTACTTGAACTATTTCAGTCAGTTATCATCAACATAGGGCCCGGTATATATATATTCTGTGACTCATGCTTCCGTACTTCATTAGCGCGACGAGATAAATGTAAGATGAAAAACAAAAAAGATTGAAATAATATTGCGCTAATGATAGTGAGAAAGACTGAACACTGGGAATTCGGTTCGAATGGACAAAATGGAAGGATTACTGGAATTTAGGATCGAGTAAAAAGTAATTCGTAAATGAACTTGTATTATTATGATCGATCCTGAACCATGGTCTGAGTCATTTACCAGGTACAGATCCGTGTACTTAATTCTGAGCTACATTGTTGATGTAAGATTTAGTGATGCTGCCCGTTTGCCAAAACCAAAGTAGATGTGGAGGGGTTTAATCCTGTGACTTACTGGCTAAAAGTCAAACTTTTTAATTATTGAGCCACCTTTTCACATTTAGATAGCCGACCAATATACGTTGTTGGCATATTTTTTTTATTGTTTATGGTTCGTTGATCTCTCTTAATGGTAGACATTTATCTTGTCAGAAAAACATTACAAAATTATTTAAGAAACAGATAAACACATGATGAGTGTTACATTCTTATTCAAACAGACGAAAATGAACGTTAAAGTATCTGATCTAATATGGAATATAGTTAATTGTTTGTTCTAAAACAACATTATGAAAAATGATCAAATCCATTTACTTAATTCTTATAAACTATGTATATTTGTAAATTCACTTGATATAATTTGTTTGTATCTTCCGATTGTTGTTGATACAAACAAAAAATATCAAGTGAATTTAAACCTCAGCCCGTTGTACAAGCAGGAGGCTATCAGGACTCAGTAGCCAAGTGGATAACGCGGTAGTATTTGAAGCGAACGGTACTGTGTTCGAGGCCCAGAGTAAAAATTAGCTCTGAGATGCACGTACATCCAACTGATGAGTCCTAAATAGGACGAAACGCATGTCTTGGATTCCACTGCTAGCCATCACCTATCTTCGCTTATGTATATTTGTTGTCATAACTATAGAATTTAATTAGAAAGCCAAGTAGTACTTCATATTGATGGAAAACATATGGTAAATATGTACATAATTTACAAACTAACAAAAGAACAATTTAGGAAGTAATCGTAAATCAGTTTACAGGTGTGATTCGCTCAATTTTTCTAGTTTATTTTATGTTTTTCGATAATGTTTTACAGAGATCTTCACAATTTCGCATGCGTATTTCGTTTCAGCTGCACAAAAGCTTTTATTTGATCATTTATTGTTTATACTTTTTGTGTAAAAACATAGGTACACCTGTTTGTACGTCTTCAAATTTTGTATTTATTTTTGTCACAAGCTAATATTATTGTACACCACTGAGCGTTTACCAACTTCCTATTTCGGAACCCCACATTCAAGAACTTCACTTAATGATCACGTCTCATTGTGAGCCAAATAATATCAACCCTACTGAGTTTGAATCTAATGATCCTTATTTTGAAATTCAGTCGGTTTGTGATATATATCTGTTTAATACTCCTTGGTTCTCAATAGTTCTCCAGTTGAGATAAGATCATCATGAAGTTTATTTTTGGAATATTTAAAAGTTTTTGCGAAACTAACTTAATTCATTATTTAGTGTACATTGACAGTTTATCGAAATAATCTTCAGTATGATCCCTTTCTTAACAATACATATATGAATTTTCTTTATATACAACGGTTTAATCTTCCACGTAACTTCTGTAATCGTCCTCATAATAAGTGTTCACCTCAATTTTGAAACAAACTTTCACTTCACCGCTGATTTATTTGTTGAAAGTAGTTATTACAGTGTAATACTTCTACTTGGCTGGTCATTAGAGGTCATGTTAACCTTTGTTTTTGTAAACTTGGCAAAATAATTTTTTGCTTCCCTCTTTACTGTTGACATTTGAGGTTATGAGGTGATGGAGATTTGTTGCTCAGGTAGATGATTCTGATAGGGTTTTATTCTCTGAGCTGGTTGGTTTGGTTGTGACATCATCAGCACAAACTCCAGGTAGAAGCGAAGTGTTCGAATTTCTCCACATATGACTCAGAGCTTGTCCTGTAGACCTCGACGTTGGTTGGCTGTTGCTGACCTGTCATTATTTACTTCTTTATTTTGATGGTATCTCCGATTGGTTTAGTTTTCGGTCCTATATTTGTCCGTAATTTTCCTGATTGGTTGATATATTTGGATCGATTTCAATGTGTTGGTTGATTGCCAGCTGATCTGAGTTCCAAGCTGCAAAAAATTCTCTGGTGTTTGCCTCTGTCCAAGATCTCAAAAGTTTTCCAGTCGAATGTGTATCCACATGCATTGTTATAAGTGAGGATATGTCGTGGCGTTTGACCGTTAGTTGATGTTCATGAAGGCGAAGACGAAGAGGGCGTCCACTTTGTCCGATGTGTTTTTCGCTGTTGGAACAATTTATATTGTAGATTATGTTCAGTTTTTCTTCTTTTGTCATTTCACCCTTTGGTCTGCATAGAAGTGATTGCACTAATTTTGTTGATTTTTGTGCTAAACCTATTCTGAAAGGCTTCAACAATCTCATTGTAGTTTTTGATATGCCTTTTATATACGGTAGGATGATCCGTTTTTCGGTTTTTGTATTTGACCTTGCTTCTGATTATGCGTTTGGCTGGTAATTTTTGATGAAGTTGATTGGATAGCCATTCTTTTGAAAGATGGTCTTCAGGTATTTTTCTTAATTTTTTCGCGCTGTAATTGTGTTGCAGTGTGTACTCGCCCTCTTGAACAGAGTTTATACGCAGTTGATTTTGTGAGATCTTGGGATGTTGCTATTGTAATTGAACCAAGCTTAGCAAAGGAAACTATCCCTGCTTCTCACGAACGACACAAATCTCGCAAAGTACACGAAGCTTCAAAGTCAAAGTTTACTGGAGCTCATCGATTTAGACTTAACAACATATCTTCAATGAAGGGTCAGAAACTCAACGATAAGACAAGCTTAACTATTTCGATGCCTCCCAGCCCTTCAAGCTAGAGGGAGAAGACCAGGTTTGCAAGAGGGAAAGGTATATTGCACAAGCAACCAAAGGCACGGACAAACCAATGGCATTTAAGGTCCTTTCAAGTGGAAAATACGATCTGAAAGTAAAATTGGACGCTTTTGGCACGACAACGAGAACTTCAAATTTCCAATATAAAATTACAGAAATAAGACGTTTACCAAGTGATTTCTGGGAATCCAGCATCGCCAACTATAACATGTATGAAATATCTTGCGAAGCACAAAATTTTTAAAAGTTTTTTTACTCTATAGCAGTCTATTAATTAGAAAGTATAATTGTTTCAGTCGTATTTCAGTAATAAGTCTATTTTAAGATGAAAGGAATGCAATAGACTACTTTAAACAATCCTCATCCGACTTTTCGTGAATTCACTGCTGATTTTGGAGTTTTATTTTAAATTTATTTGTCTGACTGACCTCAAACTGTTTTTTGAATATTCACCTCAAAACAAAGAGCATTGTAATATAATTAATTTTCTGAGATCTGATGTTTTTTGGTCACCAAATTTTTCCAACCTTTTGTTGTTTGAAAGCTGTTCAGTAAGTTTTATTTTTATGTTTATATTTATCAAAAAACACCAATTTATTGCGTCGAAAATTTTCTACTATTCAGAGTTTTATTTAATAAAATCTTGAGATTAACCTTTAGTTGATAGCTCTAATTTCTTTTCTATTTTTATAGAGAATTCTGAGGAAGTCTTTGGTAGCATGGGATTCTGATGATGACGGACTAATTGAGAATTCAGGCTTTCCTGATCAAACATATGACGTATGGACTGCAAAAGGCTTAACGTAAGTTCTCAATAACACTTACTAAACCAGTCCTCATTCCCATGTGAATCATTTTCAGACTTAACAATAAAGTATTTCATTTCTAATAATTTCTAGTGTTTGAAATTAATTAGACGTAATTTGTTTTTCCTCTTTTTGGAAATTCTCATCTGTATACAATTAAAGTTGATGATAAAACAAAATATCCACCCACTGTCCAGTAGATGTAATTGGTTATCCAGCATTTTCAATTCTTAATGAAGAACTACTTACAAATGGAATGTAATTTTTAAAAACCTCATCTTACTATTCTCAAACTAAAATATATTACTACTCCTATCATTCTTTTTATAACTAATTAATGATTCATTTCAAACCTTGCAAAATGGTTAATTTAAATATTTCTGAAGTTATTGTATGATTTATATTGGTAATCATAACGTGTAAATTTAGACATATTAATGAATTAAGATAACAGTGAGATTTTTAACATAATTTTTTCAAATGATGCCTGTAGTATGTGATACAAATGTACTCAATAATTCATGAAATTTGTATATTTATTCACCAGTTACACCTGTTACAGCTCTTGTAAGCTCGTATAGCTGAGAGGTACTAAAGTAGATAAAATAAGGAATAGGTTACTTTCATCACATTGTATCATGTTTTAGCACTGCTAGGCTTACTTGTATAAAATCAATAAAAGAAATTGACTTCTGGAATTTTAAATTTGCTAAATCCTACCGTAATAGAAAAGCAGAATAATCAAGTGGTTTTTACAATTTCTTCCTTTCATTTCCGTTTGGTATTATCAACATAGTTCCTTTCGACGAGACTGTAATTTATGGACGAACCAATCGGATTTTAGGATAACAGGTCTCGAATTTGGCATGAAATTCATCCATTCATTCGGCTAAATAGCATTTTGGCATTTTAGCTGATGTCAGTTCGTGATGAAAACCCTAAATCTAGTTCCTAACTTTAACCACCAACTGTAAATCGTAATTTTAATTCCTCACGCTGATATATAACCCTCCTTTAGTTCTAGTTGGTGTGTGGACATTCTCAAAGTCACTTTTGCGTCGCTCATAGGTCGTCTATAAATTATAGTCTCACCTTTCTTCCCTCAATTTTATGGAGCTGAAAAATGTTTCTCTTGATCTTCATACGTAACATAATTCTACAAGGCTGATGTGTGTACCGACAGTTTCATTAAGCGAAAACAAGTTTTAATTAGACAGACCATTTGGATTTGCATAGATTCTTATATAATCATAGAGATCAATGAAATCTCAGTTTGGAAAGTTCGCTTGGGATTTTCGGATACATATTGTGTCCAGTTATCGTATCTGAATTCTTGTCAACGTTTATGTACGTAACAACAAAATTAATTATCTTATACCATAACCTGCAATAACTGAGAGTAATAGAGTGCAATAATCAGATTTCCCACAATATTTGTTATGTGTGATAAAACCACCCTGTTTGATATATCAGTTTTAAGTGTGGATATTTTCTAGAGAGCGATGGTTGTTTTATCGAATACTCACATTTATGCTTATTTTAGTTGTTTGAGGTGTATGTTACGCATAACTAATCATTACTTACTTCGAATTGTGATGGCTAGATCCAAATTATGACATATTGGACCATACGCATTCATTTCTTACGTCCTCAGTCCGTGACCCCTCCGTACATATCTGTTGTTTGTTCTATTACATACATATTTTTGTTGATTTTATTTTTTCAGGTCTGTTTCGAGATGTGAATGTCTAGTTTGACACATTATCGTACAAAGTTATACTTTTTTATTGTTCTTTCAAAATGTGGAGGTTTACCTGGATAATTTGCTACAAATGAGTTCACTAACGCACCTACTTATCCGTGATTATTAGTAGTATAATATGCAGTCTTAGAAAATTTAGAGATATCGACTTCAGATCGTTATACTTCATGTGCCACTTTATCTAACAGAAACTAAAAAGGATCATCAATGTGTAGGAACGGTTGATTTAGTTTCAGAGCCGGACACCGAAATATTTAGCAAACTGTTCAAATGGTTTGTTATTTTTCAAAAATATGAATGAATAATAACTGTTGGATTGTGTGAACTCTGAAGATGTCTGATTCATCCTGAACGAAATTAATAGCTCTACCAGACATTTATATTTTGGAATATTGGTAGGTTTCGATGTGATTTCTACGAGGTCATTCAATTATAAAACCTTGTGTTTAGCTACCTTTCAGCCTGATTATAAGACACACCACCTGTATTTTCTAGCCTTTTTAATTCCCCTATTATGGGAATGATTTTTAGAAGGACTATGGTGTTGTTTTGTTCATCTCGATAACTGTTTCAGTCATGAAGCCTTAATCGTCTTGCCATAAATGATTGTGAAGATAGATTTCAATTGAATGAAAATTCATTGTACTTATATAAAATGTGACTAATTCTTATTAGTAAATCTGATGCCGGTTTCAGACATGTATTTGAGTTATTTGTTAAATCTAGAATCAACATATTTTTGGGTGTTTTTAGCACACCAAACTTTCAGGAGAGTCGTTTTCCTCTTTCTCTTTTAGTAAAATAGCTGTTTCAAGCATTCGTATGACGTATCCGCTCCTTTATGTGTCACATTTAATTGCATGAGCTTTCATTCCACACATCAAACGTAACCGTTGTTAATATGATAGCTTTCAAGATATTTTAGAACAATACATAGTGTTCTTGTATGTTTAACTTATTTGTAATTACTTAGATACGAACTATTTAAATGATTGACAGGATTTTACTCGTTTGAGTATTTTTGTGGATAGTTAACGTTTTGAGTTGACTATACTGTAACACCAGGCATAACTGACACTTTTGTAACTGAATTAAATATTATCTGAGTTTTTTAATGCTTTTGTACCATTCTTTAGTGCTTACACTGGTGGCATATGGCTCTCTTGTCTATATGCTACATTTGATATGCTCTCTTGGTGTCTAAAAAGTGATTCACCTGTATATGATCAAATAGTTAATAATACAGATGATACTCAACGTTCTTGGAGAGAAGTTAAAGATGAAATTCAAGCATTATTCACTAAAGCACGTGATTCATACAATGCCAAACTATGGACAGGTAGATAGTTTTAATTTTCAAGTAAAATAATTTCTCTACTTTACTAAAAAAAATATTCGATCTAAAGTGGTTGTTAGTTTCTCAGTCTTGACTAAATACTCTCTACACTGTTAGGCTGTATGACTATCATAACTCATCTGTATTATTATTTTTGATTATGCGACTTGAGAAGTAGACTTACGATTTATAAATTACTTAATTCCAAAAATAGTACCACCTACAGAGTGTATATATTACTGTACACCTGTTTGTATTCATAACTAAGGATTATGATTAGTTAAGGGATTATCTTTAAAGATTCATGTATTGAACGTGAAGTTTTTTAAGACTTTAATTTAATGTATTTCTAGTTCTCTGCTAATCACTGTATTTTAAAATCATATTTTCACCACAGAAACTGTCTTTTTATCTTAACATACTGACTTACCTTTCTTATTCATTTATTCTTTATGATTTAGTGTGTATAAAATGTAGACTAATATGGTAGGTATCATCACCACGATTTGACTTGATAATTTCAAATAAATTGAGCATTGGTTAGATTGTTATCAATAAAAATAATGTACTTGTAACATCCCAGTTAGTAGGAAAATCAAATTGTGTTATTTGCAAATTAGAGAGGTCATTTAATAAAGTTCAGAGTGATTTGGACTAGTGTCCAGTCACAATTAGCATAATAGTAATATAGCACAAATGAAAATGCAAAAAATCGTGTGAATAAAATGCATAGTAGGAGAATTTCATCTAGTCGATTGAGATAACAATGATAATAATAATAATAATAATATTGCTGTGTGAATATAATATGTAATAAAAGGGGGGTTATCATGGTAATTACGATAAATAAATAAAAAGATTTCACGTCAATTGGGAATGATGGATATGAAGATTAAGATAGATGTCATAAAAAAACTGGAAGGGGGTAAGGGATTTATAATATTCAGTTTATGTATCCGGTGAATAAATAGTATAGTTCCTTTGGCAGTAAGATATAACTAAGAAACGATATGTCTGTTTTCAGTTCTAGAAACGTCTAAGGAAAGTTTTAAATAGACGCAAGAAGTCCGGGTTTCATTTTCTAACATGAAGAGATCACGCTTATTGTTCTGGATAATAATCACTGCGTAAAAATTACATGTCTTTTATACATAGAAGGCAATAATTTTACAAACAATATAAATCCTATCCAACAGTTTACAAAAATCTCCAGAAGTAATCGACTTGCGTTTCTCTGTCAATAAAATAAAATAAAATGCTGAAGTATGTTTAACAAATGTAGTTGGTGTGTTCACTGCTGCAGTCAAAAAAAGATACGTAAAAGACAGATTGAATGTGATTCAACATATCAGTCTATCTTTTATTCGTTGACATGTAAGCTATCGGTAACTATCCGTACCCTGTACTAAAAACAGAAATCAAGCTTCATCTACACCAATGAACATCTTGTGAACTTGACGGATTCCTCTCTTATTGATAACTTCTGGACAATCCATTACAAAGTTATCCTAAATCTGTTCAAGGATTCCGACATGTATATATAATCGAAATATTTGAAATCTGTGGTTTAAACCTGAGCGTGTCGACCGCTTCACTTATCTGGGAAGTTTCATCAGCCCTTGTGGTCTGGTGTGTGACGAAATCTCAGCACGGATACGGAAGACTCGACTAGTTTTGCCAACTTGCGCCATTTATGGCGTAGGCGAGATATCCGTCTATCAACCAAAGGACGTGTTTACTGCGCATCGGTTCTTTCTGTCCTACTTTATGGCAGTGAAACATGGCCGGTAAGAGTAGAGGATATTCGTAGGTTACTAGTATTTGATCATAGGTGTCTTCGAAACATTGCTCGTATATCATGGGACGATTGAGTAAATAACGCAGTTGTTAGGAAACGGGTACTAGGTAATGATGGCAAATCAATTGATGAAGTAGTGAAACTTCATCAGTTGAGATGGCTGGGACACGTGTTACGTATGCCCAACCACCGACGTGCGATGTTTTATGGTGTTGGAGTAGGTTGGAAGAAAGGTAGGGGCGGCCAGACCAAAACATGATACAAATCCATGAAGTCACTGACAAGTGGACTGAGCCATGTTGGCAGGTGTAGACTACTTGGTTGGGGACCGCGAGATGATAGCAACCGATGGTTAGAGACCCTGAATGACGTGTCTCAAAATTGTTCGCAATGGTGCAGGTCCCTCAACTCTTTGTGTTATCCTAAGTTCTAAGCTTCTGAATTCTTCATGTCCTTTTTTTCCAAATTTATTTCACTGTATTATACTCCTTGAGTAACATCTTCAAACCGCGATCTTACCGATTACTGTTCATACTCTTACTACCTCTCCCACTGTGGAATTTGAATCGACCACTGCATCTCTGTGCTAATGTGGTATGGTAACTCGAACTGATGTACGTACGTACGAAGTTCTACGTTGTTACTGACTGACTGATTTAAACCCTACTTTTGTGCTCAAAACAGTATACGTGAGCTGTTTTTTCTCACACATACACCAGCATGGAGTGAGGCTGGACGCGATGTATTAGGGAACAATAGTGAATCAGTTGATGAGGTTGCAAATCTTCATCAACTGAGATGGTTCGGCAACGTGTTGCGTATGCCTGAACTCCGATTATGACAATGCGCAATGCTGACTAGTGTCGGAAACAGTTGGACGGAAGTCAGGGCTGCCAAACTAAAACGTGGCATTAGTCCTTGAAGTCAATAATTTCTAGTCTTAGTTATATTGGTAGGTGCAGATTACTTGGATGAGGTTCGTGTGACTATCGTAACCAGTGGTTGGAGACTGTGTGACATGGCTCAGAATCGATCACAATGGCGTAGGTGTATATACTCTCTATCTTCCCTTAAACTGTGAGATTAAAATTGCTTTATATCTTTCTTCCTACGAACTAATTTTTATTTCCTGTACTATCTCCTTATACACAATCTTCCTTTTATATATTACTACCACTAAAGTAACTACTTGTATGAATTCGGTGTTCATCTTATTGTGCTAATGAAGTATGGCAACTTGGACCGATACATATGTGTCCTACTTTGTAGCTGACTGACATGGAGTTTCACATTTACGTAAAATCACTTTCTTATGTAGTCAATCATAAAGAAAATAGTATATACTCTATCGACCGATATTATATTCGGTAAGGTGTATACAACTTTAATCATTAAAAGAAAAGATCTTACGATCATGTTCTAATTTTTGTTGTATTAGCACGTATATGTAGTTCGTGCAAATACTATTACTAACAGTATTAGTAGTAGCATTACTATTATTATAGCGATTGGTAACTGTGAATCATTTTTTTTAACCATGGAATTATATGGTTAAGAAAATTTAAGGAATGTGTAGCATAAAAATACTTGCTTGTAGTCTTCTAAGCTAATTAAATCACCGTAAATAATAATTGAATAATACTACTAACAGTAATTTATTATAATTCAGTGAAGATAAAAAGTTTGGATTAAGCAGGTCATAGCTATCTACTCTTATGTTAAATGATCAATACATAACGTTCACTAACAGCGAGTAATATGGGTCTTCTCTATTACCAACCTTTTACTCAAATTATAGTTTTTTCTAAATGTCAGAACTGTTTATTATTTCACTATTACCAACCTGATTGTGTTATACATATTTGTAACGTAGATTTTATTATTACTAGTTAAGAAAAACTATTTTAAATTGCGGTGTGATTTTACAATCTAACTGTTAAAATTTATCTATCAGTGTTCAATGATACTTCTAGTAGTAGTCACTTTCGAATCAAAATGTTTCCTGTTAACTGAAATTTCAAAATAATTCCTTATTACATGAAATTAAACACTGGGTTGATGTTATCTTCTTGTTCCAAATTAAAGCTGGAAAAAAATGTAATGAATGATTGAGTATAGTAACAGAGTTGGAAGGTTTAGATATCCTTCAAGGATCAAAGTAAGTTTACACGAGTAAATGAGAAAAAATTCTAGTAATATCGCACTGTTTTAGTGTGAGTTTCTATAAGTTCATAAACTGGCTTTTGATTAAAGTATATAACCCCTATGTAATATGAGTTCTCACACGTTTTGATGTACTAAAAAAGAGTGGTCTGACAGAACTACTCTAATGTCATTTCATCTTATACGATGGTCAAGTCCTAATACTCGTACTAAGGCACTTTAACGTTGTTTGCCTTTGTTTTACAGTAATCAGTCTTATTTACTAAATCCACTTAAATATTTATGAAATAAAATGAACCAATTACTCCCACTATTTATGTTAAGTCCACATAGCCTCCTATTGTCCTAGTAAGGCTCTAGTGAACAAGGGCACCAGTGGCGAAAAATCGGATGTATTTGAAAGGAAATTACAGTTGTTAATAAAATCTAACAACCATATAGTAAATAAATAAAAATAATATATTTGTAATATCCCAATGAGTAGAAAATTGGATTTTTCTGACGTTTCGTGGCTTAGTGTAAGTCACTTCTTCAGAGAACAAATAACCAAATTAAATTAATCCAAGTTTAAATAGTACAACGGAACAATTTTCTACTCATTGAGATATTACAAATACATTATTTTTATTTATAACAATCAACCCAATGCTCAATTTATTCGAAATTATCAAATAAAACCTTGGTAATGACACCTACATATAGTAAATGCTCAATTTGCAAAATGACTATCAATTGTCTCAAAATGACTCAGACTTCATTGTTCTTGCATTTTCATACAAATTGCATTCTGTTTCCATTCTTTACTGCTTGATCCTCTTGTCTCTGCTGCTAGACATTCTGTTCCTGAGTAACGTCATATACTACTTATGTCAATATAAGTAGCACACACCGCAAGACTACTACCTGTTTGCATGATGTAAAATACAACAATGCTTCTCCTAGTTACAAACCGATTGAGTGACTATACGTTTTCAACATTAAGGTGACATGACATTTCTTCGAGTAGCACATCTACGCCATTGCTGTATGCTGTTTTTGACTTGTATCAAAAATGCTACTAGATGCATGGTTACTAATGGATGATAGAATCTACATTCTTGGCTCATAGTATTTCATAAAGTCTGATTTTTCGTCTACTATTAAAGGTCCAGTTAATATCGATGATTAATAAATAAAGGTAGTCAAAGGATGCCACTTCATTGGTAAGTTTGCTGATGTATTTCTTTTCAGTTTAGGAGTTTCAAACTTTTCTCTCTTTTTACTCTTCAGGTTCGTATTACGCTTTCCAAACACACTGTACTCGTAGACGTGAAGTTATTATGGCCGGTCAGTTAAGCGGATATTGGTTTTCCCGTATCACTGGAGTTCCGCCGAACTTGGTATGTTTCGGAAAGTAAAATTAGCCGTCACTTGCTAAGGAAATCACATTTAGCATTAGGTCTCATCGTGACTGTGTTAATTTAGGACCGTTGAAATCTCAGTAACTGGAAACCAATCTATCAATAAAGAGCAGTAGACTTTAAATCGAATCGATTCCTAGTCGTACAAACTGTCCATTTATTTCGTGATAACTGTTTGCTTTCATGTATTTAGATATTTTTGATGCTTCCGATGTGTGCGTAAAATGTAGTGTTAGAGGGATTTGGTTTTACAAAAAACATTATGTACATTGTGATACAGAACATTTTTAGCTCAGAATGAGGCTTTTGGTGTTTTGTTCTTTGAACTGGATGGTTTAGTCAACACGTAAGTGATGAACAACTGATAAACGACAGTCCAGATTAGAGGTGAGGACTTTCCATGTGATCATACAAACAATCGACATATATTTATAGACAAGATTTAACCAAATTCCAAATCAACGGAATAGGTTGTTAGTTAATTGTGAAAAAGTCTAATAGCTCTCTTCCTCTTGGAATGTGTACTGATGATGTTTAAAAGGAAAGTGAAGGCTTAATAATCAAACCACTCAGTTCAGAGAATAAATCACTTACAAGAACTCTAAAGTGAATGTACAGGAGAAATATGCAACATGACACATGGACAACGTTCCAACCAAATACTCATAAACGTTACAAAAACCAGTTAATGGTTTTTTTATACTCTTTCGTATATGCTTACTTATTTATTTAAACATATAAATATTGGTACAAAGGGGCACTGAATACAAATGCGCCACACAGGTCACTTGACTAGTCTGTGGGCTATGATACTTCCTGGGTGCCTAAACCGAAGCAGGTGGTTTTCTTGGGGGGCCACACCTGGAACCTTTGACCTAAAAGTCTGATCCGCAAGGCAGTGGAGTAACGTCAGGAGATATAGTCCCATGGTAGCCAGTAACCAATAACTGGTTCATATTCCATTTGTTCCTTCAGGATCCTGGAGTCCACCTTTGGTTTGGAGTCGGTTTTCCAACCCCCAAGTGGACTCTCCGTGTCCACCGACACGGTTAAAGAGCCGAACATTCTCTTTTCGTCCTCTCAACTTCATAAACAAAAGCGGTGCCGCGAGAAGGCAGTGGCTGTATACGCGTGGCCATGTGAGAACATTTCAAGAGGGAGTGTTTAGCTAAATACGAACATTGATATAAATCACCAGGTTACTTGAAATATTAAATCAAATGAAACAGTTAAGATATAGCGTTGTTGAGTAACTTTGTGTTATGATGTACTATTACAAAGTTTATGCCCCCTTTCTTATAGTTTGTGGAATTATGAAGATAGCAGAACCATATGACTATTTCAGGTAAAGTGATGTACTTCTAAGAAAGCAGGGTGGGAGTTCTGAACTAACCTAAATTTCTGGGAATCTCTGTAGTGCTATTATTGTAACACTTCTTAGCTTGAGGAACATAACTAAAACTCCAATTCAAGTTTTTGTTAAACCGTTTAAAAAGTGAGCTGCGTCTATACTATGAATCTTATTTTATCCATTGGCATTCATGACTCTACTGTAGGCTATTTTTTATTCTTTGGGTCCTTATACGATAACTAACATTGGTAAAAGCTCAAATGTTCCGTCGAAATAATTCGTGTTCTTTTTTTCTTCAGATTTTACCCAAAAATCATGTAGTGAAAACCCTACAGACAATTTCGAATTGCAATTGGCATGGTATAGAAAATGGTACTATAGGTGCAATTAACGGTTGTCGTCCAGTCTGTAAACCTGACCTTAGTAGTATTCAGGCAGAAGAATTCTGGGTCGGTGTGAACTATTCACTTTCTGCTCTTATGATAGCCGAGGTATGGACCGGCTTAATAGTTATTTCAAAAATTTGTTTCCTCGTTAATCTTTAGTATGTTACGTTGCATTGATGAATTCTCATTACTTCTAATTCACATCAAAGTCATGCGAAACCTTTGATGTATAAATCACACTATTTCCTACCTTGATTAGTCAGTTGAGTAAGATCTTTGTGTACCACACAATTTTATCATTTGATTCTTAAAGTTCATTGACGTATTGTTTGAATATAATAGTCAAAATTCATAATTGAATCTACCTAGTGGACATTCAGTTGTTTCATAATATAGAGTAAGTTAACTTCTTTATACAAATCTATCATTAAGTGAAAAGACTGATCCTTTTTAATCTAGCTACTTATCCACCTTCCTCTATTTGAATATATTTACGTGCATGTTGCACTTTTTTTACAATGAATACTATAGTATTGATGACAAAGATATTTTTCCGCTAGTTGACTTGCTAATCTTTCGTCAGGATAGTGTTTTAAAGTCGATTTTTGAAAGTTAGTTTCGAAAATTAATGACAAGTATGTCTTATTACAGGAGCATTCGCAATTATTGTAGTTTTTGTATACAGTGATAATAATTTTGTACTATGACACTACGGGGGATGTGTTTATTTCATATGCTTGTAAGCAATATAAAAAATTAACGTCTTCAGTTTATTCAGTATTGTTGGTTAGACAAATTCAATTTTCCAGATGCATTTTAACCAATTAAATGTATTAAACATATGCCTTTGGTGCTTATCTACATGTTAACAATATCCTACTCACCATATCGTAATCTCTATAATAGGATTTCATGTAGTTGTAGAATGCTAGCGATATAGTTAAAGAGCTTGAATTTCAGCCAGTAGGCGACAGATTCGAACCCCATTTCAGCTATAGTGATTTAAGAGACTAATTAGTATCACTATCCCCTTACACAACAAAATACATGGTAAAATTTATGTGCTTGTTAAATGAGCTGCACTTCAATAGAATTCAAGTAAAGAACAGAAATATATTGTAAAAAGGATATATGAGATCGGAGAATGTTAAGCATCGAATGATATGACGTACAAAATGTTGAGAAAGATAAGAAACGAATGTATCGGCGACTGCTTTAACCCAGTATATACAACTACAGATCAAACCTTATCCTGCTACTCTACTTCTGGAAGTGTCCATCTGCCGACACTGCTCGGTCCGACAGTCTTGAAGTTAGGTCGAGAAAAGCGGACTGTTTATCATCCTTACATTTATGCACGTAAAGTTATTTAGTAATCATTTTACTTTTTTCTGTGTTAGGGAATGATTAACGAGGGATTGGCTCTCGGCGAAAAATGCTACAACACTATTTACAATCTTTACGGATTGCAATACCAAACACCTGAAGCATACATGTCCGATGGTCGTTTTCGTTGTCCTGGATATATGCGTGCATTGGCTATTTGGAGTATTCAACAGGCACTAGAATTCACCAACATATACAAATACTCAGATGCTTCAAAATTTAGTGCTACATTTACAGACATTTAGGCTTGAAATAGTAAAGATAATTCAATAAGCAAACAATTGTACCTAAATTTATACTGTAAGCCATACTGATCCTTTGTTAACTTGTTTGTTACATTTCGAGTACTTTATTTTTTATGATTACTCTGCTCCTACATTAGGGAAAAATGGATCGTTATAGTTATTTTACTTTTTTTCTTTTATATATAGTTATGGAGATATGTCTAAGTGACTTTCTTCAAATCCTGCTTCTTTCTATATTCTGTCGAGAACAATTTCGATAACTTTTCTATTTTAAAATTTATAACGTAAGGGTAAAACATTTATTTTATTTACTAAGTATTACATTTCCATATATATATATTGCTTTTCCAGATTGTTTTCGTAGACAAAGCCTTCATTGTCAATATAGTGTTTATTTTGTGTGTTAATCAAGAAAATAATTATTCCAAGTATATTAACTGAATGTGATCGGTTATTGGCTAATAAACAGAGCGTTACTAGCAAAACTTAGGGAGCTGTTCCTAACAACTAGTTGTAACAAGAATAACTGTATTGTATATATATATATTTAATGTAATTTGGACTTGTGTTAGTGGCGGAGTTCATTCCAGCAACAACATCGTGATGATTTAACTGTATTTGCTCTCGTAAAGAATAACTCGTACAAAACATTGCTTCGCTCATTGTATTCCGTTGAAACAGGTGAGCATTACTTTAATTATTTGATATACTCTTCCGAATTTATCTAGTTCCTGAAAGAGTATTCATTTTCATGAGTCTGTAACTGGAACTTTAATTATATACTGCTGTGTTCTTTTTTAACAATGAGAGCTTTTCCATCATGGTAAACTCTCGGACCGAATGTACGCTGTACTCAAGGCCAGACTCAACGTTTTATTGTCCTTCACGGAGCTTTGTCTTTTAACATCCTTTTAAAACTAGATATGCATTCAAGTGAGAAACAGTATAGGAACTCAGGGAGGAAGCAGTCCCTTATACCTTTCCTAAGGATAGGGAGTGAAGTAGTTGAACGCGTTGACAACTTCACTTATCTTGGAAGTCTGATCAGCCCTAATGGGTTGGTGTCTGACGAAATCTCAGCACGGATTCGAAAAGCTCGTTTGGCTTTTGCCAACTTACGTCACCTATGGCGAAGGCGAGATATCCGTCTATCAATAAAAGGACGAGTATACTGCGCGGCAGTTCGTTCTGTTTTAATTTACGGCAGCGAAACATGGCCCTTAAGAGTAGAAGACACCCGTAAGCTACTAGTATTTGACCACAGATGCCTTAGAAATATTGCTGGCATCTGCTGGGATCACCGGGTAAGTAATAGTGAGGTTAGACGCAGGGTATTAGGGAATGATGGTAAATCAGTTGATGAGGTTATGAATCTTCATCGACTGAGATGGTTGGGCCACGTATTACGTATGCCTGAACACCGATTACCACGACGTGCAATGCTAACCGGGGTAGGGGATGGTTGGAAGAAAGTTAGGGGCGGCCAAACCAAAACGTGGCATCAGTGCCTGAAGTCACTAACTTCTAGTCTGAGCCATGTTGTTAGATGCAGACTACTTGGTTGGGGTGCGCGTGACTTTCGTAACCAATGGTTGGAGACTCTTGGTGACATGGCTCAGAATCGATCACAATGGCGTCGGTGTATACACTCACTGTCTTCCCTTAAACTAAAAGATTAAAATCACTTCATTCTTTCTGTCTACGAACTAATTCTTTCTTCCTATACTATATCCTTATTGCAACCTTTGACCTAACCACTCCTATGAATCCGGTGTTCATCTTGCTGTGCTAATGAGGTATGGCAACCTGGACCGATGCACATATGTGCCTGGTCCTACGTTGTAGCTGACTGACTGACCTTTCCTAGGACCTTGAAGTGACCTACTAGTGCTATATAACTGCTTGACTGTGCATCTTTATAACTTGCCTGACGCATATCTAACTGGCATTCAGTAGATGTAACACTACGTCAATGTCGAATACAATTTGGTGTACACTCATTGAAAGTAAGGGATAAAATCTTTGATGTTAACTTAAGTCAGATAATCATGGAAGGATAGTTGCATGCTCTAAATTGCTGTCAACAAAAATGTAGAAACTTATTGCGAATTTCGTTTCGTCGGGCTGCTATTTAGATAATGGGAACCAGGTTCAAATTTCAAAATAATAAATTTAAGTAAACAATTGTGAAAACTTATTCGTACTCGTGCTTTTTATGTGTTGAGTGCTTAATTACTGAATAAAAATTAGATTTCTTATTAATAGAAGGCAATTTAATCATTCTTCACGTACTAATCTATCTTCGTCATTTTTTGGCCCTACGTATATAAACAACATAGTATTACACGGAGATGCTGACAAGATTTTTTGAAGTTTTTCAGCTAAAAACAGTCAGTCAAGTCGGCAGGTGTCTTTGGAAATTGTTACGAATAAAACAAGATGTTTGAATTTAGGTGGTATATGTATGTAGCAACTATTTGATCACAAAACTCGAGGCATCTGTCCCCTGTATATCTCCCGAGTGAGTAATCTATAAGTAGGGGGTTATTTGTTAGGCAGAATCGGTAATTTGTTTGGCGTCTCACAAACCATTACCGATCGTAGTGAATGGTGTATATGTTACACATGCCTATCACGAGACGCAATGTTGACGTAGTGTGTTCGAAGCCGACAGACATCAGTCTATGAAATCACTAGCTTCCATAAGTGTGAACTCCTCGCTTGGGATCAATAGGATAACTACCGGGTAATATGGCCTCAAGCTGTTGACAGATGAATTCATACTTTATCTCCCCCTAAATCTTTAGTTTAATTTCAACCTCACTTGTTTTTTTCGAACCATACGTTTTATGTTCACCTTTTCACACTAGTGGATGTTGACATTTCCCTATTTTTAGGATTGAGTGCTAAGAGCTGGTGTCGAGAAATCTCACGCTGCAGACTGCGCTTGGAATAGGCCTGAAAGCTATCCTGCTACACTTGATCTTTTATAAAAACATCTGACCAGTTTATCACTGATTTAACTGAGTACGGCAACCGTGATATGAGTGCTTACATTTTGAATCTCAAAGATTTGTTCAAGTGCTAGTAATTCTATAAATGGTACTAGTGACCAGACAATGTGCACGTTTACTATTACGTCAATCGTAATAAGAAGTGCTTATGACAACAACCAAGATAGGTAGCTATAAAATAGTGGTTACTGTGGCACTTATTTTTCTTAGCTAATAAAGCATCAAGACAACTAGACGCAGATAACTTTATGATTCATACGACACTATTCGCAATATATTCTTAGGATGTAAAGTCCCTCATTACTTTCTAATCTTAACTTCCGACTCAATGAAAGCCTATTACTAACTCGTGCGTAGAGCCGAACTATTTTCATACTTTATATAATATTCCAGCCATAGATTTTTGTACTCAACTTCTGTTCAAAACGAAATCAGCAAAACAGGACTAGTCTATTAATTACTGGCTGGAAGCTTTAGTCGATAAGCAACTGATGCAACTATTTCTGATGTTCTTTCGTCATATCCACAGTGCGAAAAATCATACGATAAGGGGATTCAAGTGATTCTCAAGAAACACGAAATCGGGTTGAAGGAAGATTGAGGTCTTCAGACTTGAAAGAGAAACTGGGAGCTGACAAAGATGAATATCGGCAAACATTCGCCAAAACTAATAATAATTCTTTTAGTCAATCATGGTCAAGGTGGGACCTAGTCAGATCTGCATCATCCGAGTTACCGACTCAAAGCGCACTTGGATTCTCTAATATAGAGGACGGTCGCTAAGTAGTGTAGTCCAAGCCGATCATGAAGATAATTTGGGCCAACAAACCAATGAAACATCGGTTGAAACGGTCATATATTAAATCTGTATGTTGATCGGTATCACGATTCACCATTTACTTTACTATACAATCGGATATGTCGAGAAAGTTGACGAGTGGAGCATTTTTCAGCTACAACGTAGGACACATATGTATCGGTCCAAGTTGCCATACTTCATTAGCACAATAAGATGAACACCGAATTCATACAAGTAGTTACTTTAGTGGTAGTAATATATAAAAGGAAGATTGTGTATAAGGAGATAGTACAGGAAATAAAAATTAGTTCGTAGGAAGAAAGATATAAAGCAATTTTAATCTCACAGTTTAAGGGAAGATAGAGAGTATATACACCTACGCCATTGTGATCGATTCTGAGCCATGTCACACAGTCTCCAACCACTGGTTACGATAGTCACACGAACCTCATCCAAGTAATCTGCACCTACCAATATAACTAAGACTAGAAATTATTGACTTCAAGGACTAATGCCACGTTTTAGTTTGGCAGCCCTGACTTCCGTCCAACTGTTTCCGACACTAGTCAGCATTGCGCATTGTCATAATCGGAGTTCAGGCATACGCAACACGTTGCCGAACCATCTCAGTTGATGAAGATTTGCAACCTCATCAACTGATTTACTATCGTTCCCTGCGTCTAACCTCACCATTACTTATCCGGTGATCCCAGCAAATGCCAGTAATATTTCTAAGACAAATACTAGTAACTTACGACTTCTACACTTAATGACCACGTTTCGCAGCCGTAAAGTAGAACAGAACGAACTGCCCAGCAGTATACTCGTCCGTCTCTTGATAGACAGATATCTCGCATTCGCCGTAGGTGACGTAAACTGGCAAAAGCCAGACGAATTTTTCGAATCCGTGCAGAGATTCCATCAGACATCAACCCATTAGGTCTGACCGGACTTCCAAGATAAGTGAAGTTGTCGACGCGTGCGACTACTTCACTCTTCATCCTTAGTTCAGGTGTTGATGCAGGCAACAATTTTTATTTGGAGGGGGAACACATCCAAACATCCTTGCATTGTTGCTCAGTGCTACCGGGAAACTCTACCTTTCACCAGTTGTTCTTCCTCGTTTGAGATTAGCTACAGCCTTTCGAACTTCTGCTAGAGTCGCGGGACCTACTTCAACATTCCATTCAGGTTGTTTTGAAATTATGGGCAGTCGTAGAGTGGCTAAATGTCAGATAAACTGCTCCTTGAAATATTTCGCTCATCGTTCTAAACGTCTGGGTTGAGAGTAAATACGCATGTTGTCTTTTCCTGAGACTTCTTAATTCCAATTCCCTTATTAATCTGGAGTGGAGTGTTTACGTCTAGAAGTTCGCGTTCCACCGAGTTGTAGACTACTGAAACACACTACTACACCACGAATCGTCTTTCACTGATACCTCTAACGTGAAACCAGGTCTCCAATAGACGTTGCATCATCGACATAAGATAACTGCCGTTTTGTTAATTTACTGAAATAGGCCGTGTGTTGGAAAAAATCACTTCAAGATTAAGGGTCTCAATTTTTTTAAAATTTGATCAAGTGCAAAAGGTGAAAAAGCAGGTATGTGAATTTAAGGCAGGTAACATGTTTACTGGTACAATTAAACGTCCATATAAAACAAAGTAATTTAAGTGGTCAGATTTCACCATATACGTATGGTAAAATTTAACTATATGTATAAATAAAGTTCCAGTAGTTTTAATAAGGTTATTATCTCACACTAAGGCGAACAGAAAAGACACTAACTGTGACCTTTTGATAGCGTATAAACATCTGTTAGCAGAACATGGTACTTCCAAGATGTCCATGCTAGGATAGCTGACCAGTGTAGGGACGACAACGACCATAAATCCGACCGAAAAGATGACATTTCTAAGATATATTAGTCTAATTGCTAACTTACGACGGTTTTTCATTTCATTGTATAAATTCCCCAGAAGCACCGCTAAAGAGAGAATTGACCCAACTATACCCAGCCACATGTACCGTCGAAGGATACATGGCCATACTCTCCAGTGTCCTCTGAGTAACTGTATGTCGACATATAGTCCAACAGACCCAAACAGAACTGGAAATAAAAACGACTGAACTCACTTGAAAATGAACAACAAACTGCAGTCCCTACATCTCGCACTGTGATATAAAATATATTGAAGCATACTCCAACCAAGATACCAATAACCTGGTAAATTGATTTTATCTTTACATTTCTTTGGACATTAAACCCTAATGGTGAAGATAACATATGATGTTTGTAAATGACGACCTTGGTAAATGGTACCTGAACCTTGAAACTCAGCAACCGACGAAGGACACTACGTTCGTTCTCAAGGTCGAACTCGCTGTTGGATGTTGAAGACGCTACTATTTTACTGATGAACGTCTCAGAATGTTTAACAAATTATGATATGATAAGTAGTACCTTATGAAATGAGATATACGTCGAGATGTTTAAGGACTGCATAAGAAAGCACTACTGAGCATTCTATCCAACACGCATCTCCAAAGTACTATGTAATGAAAATTAAACCTGTTATTCATTATCAGACATAAGCTATCGACCAGAGATATTCAATAAACGCCGCTCTATGCTCTCCCGCACATTTTTACGAGCGTTATTCAGTTCAATTCTCGATGTAATATTTGTGGTAAATTCCCAAGTTTGGGCTCCCTATAAGAGGACTGTTCTAAAGTTTATGTTGACACTTCTGACTTAAATCTTGTTATCAAAGTATGCCAACCCGGAAAAATCTGAAATCAGGAATGCAGAGGTTCGAAATTGGGTGAACTTATCCGCAACGCAACCGTGTAAACTTAATGTATCGCACAGGGTCATCTGTCTGTTCAAGTAACCACAGATGTTGTCATTCCATAATGTATTTTTTATTAAATAACTAGATTATGTGGTTAATTTTGAACTGTTTTTAATTTTTGTTCGCAATGTCCGACTGCGTTACACTGTACGTCCATTGCACGCTGGGATGATATTTCAAGTCATAGTGAGTTTATTCACATAGTTGATTGTTTCCAGATAGACTGTCAGTGCAAGATTTTACTGAAGAAAAGTTTTTCGTACTGTAAACTGTGTTTCTATGAACAACTCCCTGTTGTCTTCAGTATGAAAGCAGTATATATATATCCCTCTTTTTTTCTTAGGTAAGTTCAACTGGCCTCTATTTCGTGTTTTGGTTTTATCGGCTTAATTATTTCCATTTAACTACTTTGAGCAACATGTCTGTGCAAATGAAACAATAACTATGACACTTGCTTAGTTTAGTGTTCTTGGTTGTCGTATTGTGAAGATATGACCGACAAGCTTATTTTGTAAATAGTTTTTAATATTATTTGTATTTGTTTTGTCAATTTTTCACTGTATGTACATTCATCATTAAATGACTGTACATGTTGTTTTAGTCAATGACCTTGAAGACACTTTCCGTTGTGATTCCAACATAGCGTGACATATTCTTTCTGGCTAACAAATACATTAATATTCACACATCCCTCGTTCTGTTTTCATTCGAGATTGAGTTAACTTAGTTCTAAAACAAATATTATTTACATTCATTGACTGAGAAAGTGAACACATCATATCTTACTTTGGAATACAATACTGGGGAGATCATCAATACGTTTGGAATTATTAAGCATCTATAATTGTGGATTTATTGTACCAGATCGAAGCCGAACACGCATAATTTTGGGTGAACTTAAGTAAAGTCCCATTATTTAGTGTATTTGTAACATTTAACTTGTATATATTAATATTTCTATTGGTTGTTATTAACTTTGTTGATATCCTTTGCTTTTATATATTGTCTGGTCCACCACAGTATAATTTAGTTTAGTTGAAGGAGTTATGATATACTTCAGTAAAGTGCTTGAAGCCTGTAACGAAACAGATCAGTTTAGTAAGTAGAGTTGCCTGTTTCTAATGTGTATACGGATTCAGATCAGTTTAATAAAAAACAGAAAAAACAGTGCCTTTGATGATGTTGCTGTCATACCTTATAAGATAGCGATAAGTATGTTTTGTGTTTATTTCTAAACTGTACATCTATCACTGACCATATTTCATGATCACTGCCATTAAACAATTTCCCCAGCAATAACATCGGTAGCAAGATAACTAAGTGTCTGGGTTTTAGTTGCCCGCAAAACAGCAGTATACAATCTTAGAAGACGAGTGTTCTGTGTCTTAATTAAATGCAGCTGACTGTGGGCAAATGTTAAGAATCTTTTTGACAACTGAGACTTTTAGTTTATCAGACACTTACTCTGCTTGTATGTTTTCCTGTTAAACCAGACGCAGATGCATGGGAATACTTAAATGTAAGCAAAATAATAAAAGCATTGCAATACGGTACTAAGCCCATGTTATGCTTTGCGCAAGTAATAGTAGCTGACCTTATCTAATATTCATGAACTCAAGGCAAATCACAACCGCAAAATTCCTTGGTAAAAAAACATGTGATTTGGTTATTTATATATTCCACATTTCTGGCTAAATTCATCAATATTTTTTCATTTAGAATGCAACAGGAGTGAGCCTTCACAGACCCTAAAAACTGGGACTACGAATGTTGTAGAAATAGAGTTTCTCGGGGTGCACGAAGCACTCGGACTGTAAGACAGTTGTGCAAAAATAATTCGAATATGAAGGTGAAAATTTGCAGGTACTTTTCATCGTAAGGGTGAACATATTAGGTACCAGTTGACATTATACATATAGTCATGCATAGTCATACGACCATATCCTTAACATCGCATTCATCAGAATCATAGCCTATACTAAGCGTCATATTTTTGCCTTATAGCCACTTCAAATTTATCAAAAAACGCAAGCACACAAACTACTTTTGAACCTGTCTTGTATACTAATAAAATGATTTCTACTGTAAAACGTTATTGAACTACTGTCGTTATGTTTGCAGGATACACAAGAGTAGCACCTTAGTAGTTACGTCTTGTTGTACATAACCGACTATGCCTGCAAAAATGGTTTCTACCTGTCATTACCACCAATATTGTTTACTATCCTACCTCTGTTATCTTTCATTTCTCTTTCTTCTCGTCACTACATGAGCCGTTTGTACTCACTGTTGTCTACTTTTATCTCATAGTGAAACTTATGATGTTCAAATACTACTCACTTGAACTTACATTACTTCAACTCGGTTAGTTACTAACACTGAAGAAGTGGCTTATACCAAGTCATGAAACATCAAAAATACAACTTTTCCACTCATTCGAGCGTGACAAATAGTATATTTACCATTGAAATTCTACTCAATACCCGATTTGTTTCAAACTATTTACACATATAAACTTCACCACTCTTCAGAAACGTGTAGTTGAAGTAGTATTCATCATGTATTATACTTATTCATAAGAATCAACTTCTGAGATTCTATTTTGTTTTTTCTTCGTCAACAGATGTTCTTGATTTTTTCCTCTACTAATACATTGTTTTAAATCGTAGCCGCGTCGAAGTTTTCTATCATTAAGTCTTGCTTTATTTCTTACAACACAAACTTGCATACCTTCATCCATAAGAAGGTATCCGCGTCAACATTTGCTTTTCCTCTGATGCAATGAATACTTATCGAGGTCTGAGGAAAACCTTCTATTAGGGTTTTGTGAGACCAGAGGTGACTATTTACGTCCGAGGTATATATCAAAGGTTTACAACTGACCAGGTGTAATTAAATGCGGATTTTGTTTTCAAATGAGGTGGCTTTTAAAATATTCCACTCGCTACAGCTTGGTTTTTCCGTAATGACACAATGCTTTCATGTTGATTGTTTGAAATGTTTGAAACACTTGACCCGTAGCGTCTGGAGGAACGACCCAGGAGTAGTTTTCAGGTTTATGGACATGACACGAAAGGATAGTTCAAAGAGTCTATGTTGTGGCACTGGACAATAGCCACACAATCCACAAAGCTGTGAACACGAGACTACTCAGAAAATAGATATTCAATATTTAACGCGGAGTAATACCTAACAATGGAGAAGGCGCGAACAATGAGTTGAATTGACTGGAGTTGATCGAATGGCATGGCTCGGCCATGCAGGCGTGGTCCCTGCTGAATGTTACCTTATATCTTCCGTTCATATTAAGTATATTGTTCTTTCTCTAGCCTAACCTTGTTCTACATCATGTATTGGTAATTGATACGATACAGTGAGTTGGTGTAGTCGATGGTGTGACTTCCACGTAAGATCTTATAAATTAGGCAGTTATATCGTGACAAATCTACAATTTTAGAATTAGGTCTATTATTAACGCAGTACTAATATCATAGTAGACTATAATTCTACATCTACATGGATTTCACGTGTAACGGCGATATTTATTTAGGTCGTTAAAAATAATTTCTGGAGTTAATAGTCACAACTAAAATTCGATTTTTATGGCTTGAAAACTGGTTTGGACGCTTTACATGATAAATCATTGAACTAATTGGTGCCGTATCATTAGAGATGACGTGTTGAATAATATCGACTGAAGTATTGCTTCAGAGTGGAGGCTAGTTACTTGTAAAGCCTCCAAACATTTTAGGGAAGAAATGATCCACTGTTAGTAGAAACATTTGCTGTAAAAATTTTATACGGAATCACTTTGTCTTTTTCTGTAATCCATAGGGGATTCTGTTCTCTTATTTGTAATTGTAGTATCTATTCCAGAGACTAGCACCAGTTCAATGAATTTATCAATTTACTGCTTCAGGCTGCTTTCAAAAGTAAAAAGTTTGAAAGATCAATCGAATTGTGTTGAAATTAGTAGAAAATATTTTTTAAAAGATTAGCACACCAACTTAATGCTTGCGCATATAAATAATACGGTTTGTTATTCAGGTTTGTTATTGAACCTAGATTTTCATTAGATTTAATCAGGCTAGTTCTGAGTAATTGTTACTGTCTTAAGTTAGTGATGTGGCACTCCCGTGTACTGTAATGCAGTAAGTACACTAGTCGTGTCCCACTTAAAGCATAAAAACACTGGTTTGAAATTTTGAAGTAGACAAAAACGTAGTGAAACATTGGATGCAGAAAAACTGAGTAAGTGTATTTAGACTTTTGTTTTACTTCTGTTGCAAGTTCATTTATAAACCTCTGCACGATTCTTGTTATCCTTTATAATAGACTGCAACTATCACAAAAATTCCTTTATGTTCTTGGAAATGTGATCATGCTTCAACATTTAAAATTTTTCCCGCTAAGTGTTTGTTAGATTGTATTGTTTCTCATCAACGTACATGTTAACCCGGCTTGTAAATGAGTTGCATTATATCATCTCCTTGCCATTCGAGTTTAAAAATTATTTGAACTGCCCTTAACATTTTCCACTAAACCCATTATAATCCTTACAGCGTTGGGTATTTGGGTTTATAAATTTGGCTGTCATATTAGTTGCCTCGAAAGCCGTTTAACATAGTTAAGATAATAAAATTACCACATTAAGCTATTGTCGTACTGCACTGGTGTAATAACTAAACTTTCACGTAGTTGTTAGTTAAACAAGCATCCAAAATAAACTCTTGAGTTTGCCACTAACGTTAAAGTTAGGTGAACAGATATTTTTGGATCGCAATTTGTAATACAGTCAGGCAGCTCGTATTCAATAATGCCACATATTTGTGATATTTCCAAATTACTTGAAACCACAGTATCAATTCCACGTTAGTCAATCACCAATCAACACCATAAATAATCATTCAAAATGGTTTCTGGATAGCGTCATAACTTATTGTCTTGACTTTGAAACAACGTAAAATGACTGACAAAATTGATGAAGCTATTAACAAGCTCAGTCAATGAACTGACTTATAATTATCGTT